ACATGGCGGTGTTTGTCTGGTCGTCTGTTTTCCTTTGGCCATGGCGGTGTTTGTCTGGTCGGCTGTATTCTTCTTTAGACATGGCGGTGTTTGTCTGGTCGGCTGTATTCTTCTTTAGACATGGCGGTGTTTGTCTGGTCGGCTGTATTCTTCTTTAGACATGGCGGTGTTTGTCTGGTCGGCTGTATTCTTCTTTAGACATGGCGGTGTTTGTCTGGTCGGCTGTATTCTTCTTTAGACATGGCGGTGTTTGTCTGGTCGGCTGTATTCTTCTTTAGACATGGCGGTGTTTGTCTGGTCGGCTGTATTCTTCTTTAGACATGGCGGTGTTTGTCTGGTCGGCTGTTTTCTTCTTTTGGACATTGCGGTGTTTGTCTGGTCGGCTGTTTTCCTTTGGACATGGCGGTGTTTATCTGGTCGGCTGTATTCTTTTGGACATGGCGGTGTTTGTCTGGTCAGCTGTTTTATTCTTTTGGACATGGCGGTGTTTATCTGGTCGTCTGTTTTCTTTTGGACATGGCGGTGTTTATCTGGTCGTCTGTTTTCCTTTGGACATGGCGGTGTTTATCTGGTCGTCTGTTTTCCTTTGGACATGGCGGTGTTTATCTGGTCGTCTGTTTTCCTTTGGCCATGGCGGTGTTTATCTGGTCGTCTGTTTTCCTTTGGCCATGGCGGTGTTTGTCTGGTCGTCTGTTTTCCTTTGGACATGGCGGTGTTTGTCTGGTCGTCTGTTTTCCTTTGGACATGGCGGTGTTTGTCTGGTCGTCTGTTTTCCTTTGGACATGGCGGTGTTTGTCTGGTCGTCTGTTTTCCTTTGGACATGGCGGTGTTTATCTGGTCGTCTGTTTTCCTTTGGCCATGGCGGTGTTTGTCTGGTCGTCTGTATTCTTCTTTAGACATGGCGGTGTTTGTCTGGTCGGCTGTTTTCCTTTGGACATGGCGGTGTTTGTCTGGTCGGCTGTATTCTTCTTTAGACATGGCGGTGTTTGTCTGGTCGGCTGTTTTCTTCTTTTGGACATTGCGGTGTTTGTCTGGTCGGCTGTTTTCCTTTGGACATGGCGGTGTTTATCTGGTCGGCTGTATTCTTTTGGACATGGCGGTGTTTATCTGGTCGTCTGTTTTCCTTTGGACATGGCGGTGTTTATCTGGTCGTCTGTTTTCTTTTGGACATGGCGGTGTTTATCTGGTCGTCTGTTTTCCTTTGGACATGGCGGTGTTTATCTGGTCGTCTGTTTTCCTTTGGACATGGCGGTGTTTATCTGGTCGTCTGTTTTCCTTTGGCCATGGCGGTGTTTGTCTGGTCGTCTGTTTTCCTTTGGACATGGCGGTGTTTGTCTGGTCGTCTGTTTTCCTTTGGACATGGCGGTGTTTGTCTGGTCGTCTGTTTTCCTTTGGACATGGCGGTGTTTGTCTGGTCGTCTGTTTTCCTTTGGACATGGCGGTGTTTATCTGGTCGTCTGTTTTCCTTTGGCCATGGCGGTGTTTGTCTGCCTAAAATCTACAATTACATCCGTATCGTCAAACATAATTAAGTAGATCCAGAACGGATATATATATATATATATGTGTATAACTTCAATTTACTTTGAACTCCAACAACAGTTGTTAAAAATAAAAAGCAGTAGATACATAAAACAGAAAGAATATCCATTCTAATATATGTAAGCAACATTCAAATCAGAGAGAAGATGTTTTTCAAACTTTTTGCATGAAAATATGAAACGGAAATGTGAACTTATGACATGTGTATAGGTTTCTAACGTTTGTATTTCCGTATTCCCAGCTAGGAGGTTTATAAAAGTATCGCATATCTGTGAACAGAATTTGTTTGTCATTGTTTTAAGTTTTAAGTGGAAAATAAACATTGTTCAAAATAACTTACATGTTGTGTATGTGCCAAAATCAAATATTGATTGATTGTCGGTTGCTTATCATTACCACCCAGTGACAAATATTTCATGCATGTTCAGTACATTATGAGACAAAACGAAAAGAACTAAAGTTAAAATTATCATTATCATTATCATTAATCTACTTTATTGAAAAACGACACTTAACGCCAAATTTAGTTAATGTTTTACAAACATACATAACAAACAAATGGAAGAAAATAAACGTATCCATTATACAATAATCATATTTGTATTAGTCAGGAACCTGGTGTTCAGTGGTTGTCGTTTGTTGATGTGGTTCATAAGTGTTTCTCGTTTCTCGTTTTTGATATCTCGTTGGTTTTCCTGATTGAATGGTTTTACACTAGTCATTTTAGGGGCCCTTTATAGCTTGCTGTTCGGCGTGAGCCAAGGCTCCGTGTTGAAGGCCGTACTTTGACCTATAATGGTTTACTTTTACAAATTGTGAATTGGATGGATAGTTGTCTCATTGGCACTCATACCACATCTTCTTATATCTATATATATATTCAAATATATGTTCAAGGATTTCCTTTCCTCAGTCTCATCAGAGATATATAATACATATAGTATATCAGAGACGTATAATACATATAGTATATGTCTCTGGTGTGATCTTAGTGACTTTAAAAACATTGAACCTAGATAATTTGTTTGCATCCTGTTTTCAGTGTATCTAGCAGTTTTTATTAAAGTTCGAAACTGTTATACAGACGACATAAAAACAAACCAAGACAACATATTTAACTGTTTTGTACAAACATTAATTACTGTAGCACACCAATGATTTTTATGTCTAGTCTAAAACCCGTCTTTTGGTCTTAGACACACGACTTTTTATTAGTTGTTATTGGCTTTGAACAAGCTTTCAGTAACTGCGAGTACTCTCAGAGCCGTGCTCTTTGTGTTTTGTGCTTTGTATCGATTTAATGAGTTAAGCCCTTTTCAACTGATTTTTATATAACAATAAGGAGATGTGGTATGATTGCCAATGAGACAACTATCCACCAAAGTTCAAATGAAGTGGATGTAAGCAATTATAGGCAACCGTACGGTTGAATATGAACTCGTTGTGTTGTGTTGTTACACCACTGTCCTAGGTGCCCTATAGGTTATGGGATGGTTCAATGTCGCGTCCGCAAACATGTTTCATCCCGCCACATTGTGCATGTGCCTGTTCCAAGTCAGGAGCCTGTAATTCAGTGATTGTCGTTTGTTTCTGTTTATCAGATTTGTTTTTCGTTTATTGTTTTTTTTTAACATAAATTAGGCTTTTATTTTTCTCGTTTGAATTGTGTTCAGTTAACGGCAATTTTTAAGCCCGACCTAGGGGCATTATGTTTTTCGGTCTGTGCGTCCGTTCGTTCGTTCGTCCGTCCGTCCGTCTGTCCCACTTCAGGTTAAAGTTTTTGGTCAAGTCAGGTTAAAGTGTTTGGTCAAGGCAGTTTTTGCTGAAGTTGAAGTCCAATCAACTTGAAACTTAGCACACACGTTCCCTATGGTATGATATTTTTAACTTTAATGCCAAATTAGAGTTTTGACCCCAATTTCACGGTCCACTGAACATAGAAAACGATAGTGCGAGTGGGGCATCCGTGTACTATGGAAACATTCTTGTTTATAATTCAGTTTTTTTCATAGTATGTATTATTTTCATTTACCTGTGTTTAAAGTTATTGCAAATGGATGGTATTTTTGTTCGAGAATATTGTTTTTCTTTAATTGTTTAACATTTCTTACCGATATAACATGTTACTTTTATTATTCTTCTCTTAGTTTATTTATTTTGTATTTACATTGTGTCATAGGTCAAATTTATTTGTTCAGTGTATGTTCAATGGTGTTAATATGTCCTTTGATTGAGTTAAGCTATTTCATTTGATATTTTATAGTGTGTCTTTCTATGTTGTGATGTTACACTATTGTTTCAGAAAAAGGGTGAAGGTTTGGTACCATTAAAACGTTTAAACCCGCTGCATTTGTTTGCACCTGTCCTAAGTCAGGAATCTGATGTTCAGTAGTTGTCGTTTGTTGATGTGGTTCATAAGTGTTTCTCGTTTCTCGTTTTTTATATAGATTAGACCGTTGGTTTTCCCGTTTGAATGGTTTTACACTAGTAATTTTTTGGGGCCCTTTATAGCTTACTGTTCGGTGTGAGCCAAGGCTCCGTGTTGAAGACCGTACTGTGACCTATAATGGTTTACTTTTATAAATTTTTACTTGGATGGAGAGTTGTCTCATTAGCACTCATACCACACCTTCTTATATCTACTTAGTACTTCATAAATATGTTTTTAGTGTTACTGAGCAAGATACATATAAATTCTAGAGTTAATGTGGTGCTGTTTTATTTCTATTTATTCGCATGCTGCATGCTTTGTTATTGTATATGTCGTATATGTATTTATATTCGATGAAAAGCTCATTAGAGCTTATTACGCTTAATTTGTTTGTCAATATGCCAAATCAAAATAAAGTTTACTTACTTACTTTTCAGACATAAAATACAATTTTCTATTCAGTGGCTTCTCTCTATTCTAGTCAGACATTTGCCATTTCGGGTCTTTTACATCTTCTCTGGAGGCAGGGACTTTCTATACTAAGTATAGACTGTCCCTCGGCTGGAGGGGACTGGATCGTAACCCTTGGCTAGCGAAGATGCATGGGGCTTTTAACGGTGACCTATGTTGCTAATCTTCTACTTCATTTGGTCTCTGGTGGAGAGTTGCGGCCTTCTTATTTTTAGATGATTGAACCATAGATGATTGAACACACATTCATTTGGTGATTGTTTTCTATACTGTATCTGGGACTAAATGATATTATCATATCCCAGACTGTACAGTAATATAAAAAACACAATAAAATATAAAAATCATTGTCATTGTCATACAGTTATTTTTAAGGATAAGCTTGTTCTGGTTTGAAAAAAACCCGAATATCTGTAGCCAGCGTAGAGCAGCGGAATATCATGTCTCAGTGTTGGAGTATGTCAGGTATTTGAAAGACTGTCAACAATTCGGAGTTCAAAACCGAATTTGCTCTCATATTATTTATCTTAAACTGCTTCCTGTTAAACATAAAAAAAAGTGGATTCTCCCTCTGAGAAATTATTTTTTGACGCGCCTAATGAAGCCGAAATGTTTTGAAGACTCTTTGTGTTTTAACATAGTCTTTATTCCCTCTTTATTTGCATGTAAGTATAAACTGTTTACCAAAATAGCAAATATACAACATCACAAACCTGTACTGCCTACTGGCTGTAGCCAAGATGCCTCTGAAGGGGTTATTTGGGGTCATGACGTTTAACAGGTTTGGGATCAACCTTTAGCAACTTTTCTGAATACATGTACATGTACAAATGTACCTGGTTGTTTATGAGTTGAATTCCTTGGAAGATGACATATTTCAGAGGGATCAATCTACTCTAGCAACTTACTCTGGAAAAGTTGCTACATGTACTATTGACATAAACCAGTGCACTATTCAATTATATTTGCAAAATTAAAAAAATTACGATTTTTTGCACCTAAAATTTATACCCTATTTGGGCTATAATATAGTATTGAATGCTAGTCGTTTCGTAACCTGGTCGTTTCGTATCTAGGTCGATTTGTAACTGAGACATTTCATACCTGGTGTAATTACAATGTATATATGGTTTTAAAGTGTGTCTCTATTAGTTTTGTCTTAATTAAACAGTTAAAGACAATATATATAAATTAATTCACTAGTTTTGTCTCTGGAAGTGTAGATCTCTTAGAAATGTCTATATATTGAAGCCAGAATAAATTTCTTGTGTTTTTTTCAAATAATACAGGAAATAATTTAAATAAAGTAAAAGTAATTTATTTATCACAGTTCTGCATACTTAATATATTTTTTATTGAAAAATGATCAAAGTATGCATCAAATAATAACAATATTGTAATAATTTAAAACTGTTTTAAATTATTTATTCTTGGCTAATTGGTGATTATGCCTGGTGTTGAACCTTAATGGTTTTATGACAGCTATTGACAGGTGATTATAAGTAATAAGGTGTCAAGTGATTAAGTAGAGGATTAAAAATGGCACACGACCTGAAAAAAATAATTATTTTCTACTTTTTTTTCACATGTCAACATTTCTTCCATAACCTACAACTCATATCATGATATATTGTTATTAGGTTACGAAACGTCTCAGTTACAAAACGACCTAGTTAGTTACGAATCGACTAGGTACGAAACGGCCAGGTTATGAAACGACCTGCACCCATAGTATTATTATACCTCAATATGTTTTTTTCTATATAAAAAAGAATGAAATATTTGTACTATTTCATTCCACAGACTATTTGCCAGTCAATAATTTCGAAGACTATTACCCCAGTCAATAGTTTTATAAACATTTTTCCCCTACTTTTTCATACTAATTTTTCATTGGACAACAAAGACGTCATCGACTATTCTGCTTGGATTTGTGCGCTTGGCAACGTTAAACTCTGAAATATTGTAAACGGTATAATCTGTATGTATCTGTAGTTTTTTCAAATTAATATATTACTTACCAGAAGCAATTAGAAAAGAAATTCTACTCGACATATTTTAAGAACTAAAACATAACAAATGTAGGGTATTGGTCTGTTGTCGTCTTCATAATCTGAGATTGCTTTGGTGTACGGTAAAATATTTTAGCTAGTGTTTATCATATGCTCGGGAATTTTTACACAAGGATTCCTGGTCTTAACTGCAGTAAATAAAATATTGACAAATACCACACTGGGAAAAAACTCCTGATAGTTCATCTTGTGCATGTCTATGTGATCATTTTTTTTTTTTCAAATGGTGTATGTATTCTTTTTAGAAAGTTGTTTTGTTTGGTATAATAAAACACTTAATGACTAGTTATGAGGGTAATAGCAAGTTTGTTGTCCCTTTGATACTAACTATTGCCCTCGGCTTCACCGTGAGCAATAGTTGGTATCTCAGGGACAACAAACTTGCTATTACTATTCGCCGCCAGCAATAGTTGGTATCTCAGGGACAACAAACTTGATATTACCCTCATACCCAGTCAATAGGTGTATATTATTATTAACTGGCTGTTTCTGTATTGGCACTGTTATAGATTCAAGGTTGGCCCAATTCTATAAGAGGTTGTGAGTTTGAATCCCGCACATCGTGGCAGGTGCTCTTGACTCCAATCTTAATTGACTAGGATTATCAGTTTTCCTACTGAAGGTCTGCAGTTTTCTCCGACTTCCTTACCAATTAAAACTGACAATCATGAAATAGAACAATAGTGGTGAAAGTGGCATTAAACATCTATCAATCAATCAAAGCTTTTTTCAAACAAAAGTCTGTTTAGATTTGCCCACAATTGTGCGTTAAAACATTAAATATACCTAGGACCCCCCCTCCCCCCTAAAAAAAAATTAAATACAGATGTAATTCAGTCATGTAATTAAGAACTAAATATTTATGTATGAAAGTTTTAATACTGTAAATAAATCATTATCATCATGATCATGACTATTATGATAAAATTGAGAATGGAGATGGGGAATATGTCAAAGAGACAACAACCCGACCAAAGAGCAGACAACAGCCGAAGGCCACCAATGGGTCTTCAACGCAGCGAGAAAATCCCGCATCCGGATGTGGTCCTCAGCTGGCCCCTTAATAAAATTGTGTACTAGTTCAGTGAAAATGGACGTCATACTAAACTCCAAAACATATAAATGAACTAAAATTAAAAAAACATACAAGACTAACAGAGGCTCCTGACTTGGGACAGGCGCAAAAACAGGGGTTAAACATGTTTTGTGAGATCTCTAACCTCCCCCTATACCTCTAGCCAATGTAGAATAAAGAAACACATAGCAATACGCACAGTAAAACTCAGTTTAAAAGAAGTCTGAGTCCGATGTCAGAATAGGTAACAAAAGAAACTGAGCAAAATGACAATGATACATAAATGAACAAAGGACTACTAGCAGTTACTGACATGCCAGCTCCAGACCTCAATTAAACTGATTGAAAGATTATGTCTTCATCATATGAAAATCAAGTACAATCCCTCCCGTTAGGGGTTTAGTATCATACCATCATAAAATATATGAGAAGGACATAACCCTTATCATGCAAACAACTGGTTTTAGAATAAATGTGTTTATTTCCGATGCAAAGACCCTATGAGTGAATCAATATTAATACCAAAATATGCAATCCTTAATGACTTGACAACAGTATCGTAACTATATCCTTTCCAAATAAGTCTGTTTAAAGGTTTGGTTAGCTTTTGAGGTGAATGCCGACATTTTTGTGCTTTGTAAAGAATATTACCATAAAATATTGGATGTGAAATACCTGAAAGTATAAGATGTCTGCATGTTGATTTATATTTACAAATGATGTCCTTGTACCGATGATAGAATTTAGTAAATGTTTTGACTAGTTTATGATATCAAAAACCCTGGTGTAATAATTTTTCAGTAATACAGAGATTTCTTTCGTTGAAAACTTGAAATCAAATACGTTGTTACATACACGAGCGAATCGAACAAGTTGAGATATATGAACACCATAAGATGGCGACAAGGGAACGTCACCATCTAAAAATGAATAATTAACAATAGGAAATGAAAAATCATCGCTTTTATCATAAATTTTGGTATTAAGCTTCCCGTTAAAGATAATGATATCAAGATCCAGGAAAGGGCAGTGTTCATTGTTAGTATTAACTTATTGTTTTTGCTCAGTTCTTATTATTATTATTATTCTTCTTCCTCTTCCTCTTCCGCCGCTTTTAAATTTGAACTTGTCCGCACCCGGTCTCCAAAACCGCTTGTCAGATTAACTTAGGGTTTCACAATATGTTAGACTAACATGTCTAGTGGTGCAATCAGGGTTTTGTTTGTGCAATGGGGTTTATAAAGGGGTACATTGAGGGGCAAAAAGAAAAGAGGGTTTAACTATAGAACCCTATGGGATTTTATTTTTTAAAATTTTCAAATGATTATAAATTGAAAACCGTTTGTGATAGACACAATCTTTTTAATTGAAAATGTTCTAAATGATAAAGCCCATTAAATGAAATACAGGGTTAGTCCCCAGGGGTCACCCCCACCCCCTGCCATTTAAGAAAGTTCTTATACCTTGTAAGTGGTCAAGATCCCCACCCCTAAACCATATATATTCTGGTTTGTCATGCTAAGATGGATTGAATGATATACAGGGTTAGTCCCCAGAGGTCATCCCTACCCCCTGCCATTTGAGAAAGTTCTAATATCTTGTAAATGGTTGAGATCCCCACCCCTAAACTATATATATTCTGGTTTGTCATGATAAAGCAAATCAATTGAAATACAGGGTTAGTCCCCAGGGGTCACCCCCACTCCATGCCTTTTAAGAAAGTTCTAATATCTTGTAAGTGGTCAAGATCCACACCCCTTAACCATATATAACAGGGTTAGTCCCCAGGGGTCATCCCTACCCCCTGCCATTTGAGAAAGTTCTAATATCTTGTAAATGGTCGAGATCCCCACCCCTTAACCATATATATTCTGGTTTGTCATGATAAAGCACATGAAATGAAATACAGGGTTAACCCCCAGGGGTCATCCCCACCCCATGCCTTTTAAGAAAGTTCTAATATCTTGAAAGTGGTCAAGATGCCCACCCCTAAACCATATATATTCTGGTTTGTCATGCTAAGATGGTTTGAATGATATACAGGGTAAGTCCCTGGGGGTCATCCTGACCCCCTGCCATTTGAGAAAGTTCTAATATCTTGTAAATGGTTGAGATCCCAACCCCTAAACCATATATATTCTGGTTTGTCATGATAAAGCACATCAAATGAAATACAGGGTTAGTCCCCAGGGGTCACCCCACCCCCTGCCATTTAAGAAAGTTCTAATATCTTGTAAGTGGTCGAGATCCCCACCCCTAAACTATATATATTCTGGTTTGTCATGATAAAGCAAATCAATTGAAATACAGGGTTAGTCCCCAGGGGTCACCCCCACTCCATGCCTTTTAAGAAAGTTCTAATATCTTGTAAGTGGTCAAGATCCCCACCCCTAAACCATATATATTCTGGTTTTTCATGCTAAGAAGGTTTGAATGATATACAGGGTTAGTCCCCAGGGGTCATCCCTACCCCCTGCCATTTGAGAAAGTTCTAATATCTTGTAAATGGTCGAGATCCCCACCCCTAAACCACATATATTCCTGTTCGTCATGTCTCGAGCATTTGAATGACGTATACGGTCAGTCCCCAGGGGTTCCCCCACCCCCAATGTTCTAATATCTTGTAAATGGTGGAGATCCCCACCCCTAAACCATATATATTCCTGTTCGTCATGTCTCAAACATTTGAATGACGTATAGGGTCAGTCCCCAGGGGTTCCCCCCACCCCCAATGTTCTAGTATCTTGTAAATGGTCGAGATCCCCACCCCTAAACCATATATATTCTGGTTTATCATGCCAAGATGATTTGAATGATATACAGGGTTAGTCCAAGGCATCACTAATGCATATAACTTTACTGGACCAAACCAATTTTCACTGGACTTTGCCCAATGTCAGGCGACCCTGGGAATTACGAATTATGGGAGCTTCGTTTGGGAGACTTCGTAACAGCATCCTGTTACAATCATTTCTTGTTTGAAGTCAGTTCGGCAGGATAAATCTCTTTCGTGTACATACTGAAGTCGTCATCATCTAAATATCTAAAAGTGTTATTAAATTTTTGAATCAGATGTTGTTTCGATGGGTCTTTGCTGATTTTAGTCATAAATTGTAACTCATAATAATACAGAAACAGGTCTGCAATAAGTGGTGCACAGTTAGTCCCCATGGGAATTCCGATAACCTGAAAATATACGGATTGTTTCGGGAGGGTTATTTTTTTAAAATTTAGAATTAGTTTACTCTCAGGATTCTCACTAGGATATTTTTATGGTAATTCCTGGGACTCATCACTTTTTGAAATGGTGAGTCCCAGCCAATTCTGACAAGTCCATAGTATGTCATGTCGTTTTGATATGAACATTCTTGTTTGGCTTATTGCACTTCCTCTGATGAATTGAATGATTTTTTAACACCATGAACACTGATTAAGTCAGGTTGATAGTACATTATGATTATATACAACAAACAAATCTTTGCTAGCCAAGGGTTATGATCCAGTCCCCTCCTCTCCACCCATAGTGGATTAAGGTCGAATTTCTGATCCACGAGTTAATGATTTCCATTGGCCGCAGTTGTAACTGGCTGCATCCAATCAAAAAGCGCCTTTAAGGTGATCACGTGTAAATGTAGAGAATGTAAATAAACAAATGCCATGTGTTGATTGTGTAATAAATTATTATTTACCCCCAAAACATAGGACGCTATTTAGTGACAATTTTAAAGTTGAATTACAACTAATTGAAATCCTGTGTATGTTTCTCGAGCACATGTTGGAATGTCAACGTATTTTTCGGTTCCTGCTTCACGAAATTTGTAAACACTAGACACAACCATTTACACCTCCACACCGAAGAAAGTTCAAGTGCTGCCATTGGTCAAGAATGATGTAGTCGGAATGGGCGTGACTTTTATCTACCGGCAGATGGCACAGCATTGTAATCACAAATGTTGGCTTAATCTACCAAGGGTGGAGAGGAAGGGACTGGATTGTAACCCTTGGCTAGCGAAGATGACAACAAACAAATCTTTGTTAAAAACTAAAATTTCTAAATCCCAACACAAACATTGAATGTATGTTGTTTTCTCATTGTTGACAACTGTAAAGTAAATTGTAGTTATTTGCACCCTTGCCCTAATGTCTTTTGAGGATAGTTGTCTCATTTCATACCACATCCCAATTTATTATTTCATATATAGTTAAATATATATTAATAACTTATAAGTAAAGTCCTTCAGTTTTTAAAAATAAATAAATATTGCAACTTATTTCTTAACCTCATAATGTTTCAAGTTTATTTTATTTTATAAAACATATTAAACATATGGTCTCCTGCTAAGCCTACAATTGTTTGTAATAACATTAGATAAAGCAAGACCTAGGACCACCCCCCCCCCCCCCCCCAAAAAAAAAATAAAATAAATAAAATAAAATACAGATGTAATTAAGTAAATATTGAAAAATTAAGTCTGAAAGTTTTTGATACTGTAACTAAATCATTATTATGATTTTTATGTATTGTTTTATAGGGGAGCGTTATATTTTTTGGAAAATTTTAAATTATTTTACCCTGTAACCCTGATCCTATAAATTTCAGCATCAAAGTCGTACTTGAAAATTTCCTTTTGGCAAAGGTAGAGATGGCAAAGAATTACCCGGGCCAGAAATTCCTGGGTCTGGTTTTCCCGGGCTGGGCTCAACCCCAAAAAAATGGATAATACTGAGAAATATGATTTTATAAGCTTATTTTTACATATAATAGTTCAGACATATTGTAGTTTCATATTATTATTATTATAGCAATAATAATATGAAACTACAATATGTCTGAACTATTATTGCCATTGTCATTTTCAGAGAACAAAAAAAATAATTTCAAATCTTTTCTGCAATAGTTAGATATAGGCAGAATAAAGTTTTTGCAATTTTTACCCCCCCCCAATTTTCCCCAACTAAAAGTTGGAGGGCATATTGTTTTACCCCTGTCCCTCCATCCGTCCTTCCGCAACTAAAATTTGGGGGCATATTGTTTTACCCCTGTCCGTCCGTCCCATTATTGGTATATAGTTATTCCAGATAACTCCTCCTACAGTTTGAATGCTAGGAAGTTTTCATTTTGCTGGCTGTTTGTACATGTATTGAAGGTGTGCATGTGGTCAGGGTTTTGATTTTTTATTGATATTTGCTCTTTTGGGAGATAGTTGAACTTTGTCATTTTAAAATAACACTATGCATCTTCGGGGGCATCATTTGTGTCTCCCAGACACAATAATATCTCAAAGAAAGTCCTACATTGACTTTGTTATAATACAGTTACTTCATAATGGAGTGCGGGGGCATCACTTTGTCTAGTTTTTTTTATACCTTGTTTTTTTTCCCAGCCTTAAAAGATCCTGTTTGGAATTTCTGACAAGAACACTAGTCAAGCACATCAAGTGAAAGGGTGATTGCCTCCAGTGAGAAGATGTTACAATTTCTCACTTTGCATGTACATGTATGTTAATTCTTGCCTACCATGTGTTTATGAGATTCTGTCTCATTGTTTTGCCATATTTATATTTATATCCTCCAATGGGTTGTTACATTTATTTCTCTTTTAGATGTGATCTTAGGCATTAAGAACGGCAACGGACACCAAGTTATGAATTTAAACTGAAATGAGCCGGTGAAAAAAATGTGGAATCAAGATGGTCATTCAGACTTTCAAATTGAGATTAAAACAGAACCAGTTGATGATCAAATAGATAATGGTTACCATGGTAACACAGATTCTATGAGGGATCATTATACTTTAAGTTACCAAGATTTATACCATGAAAACATTTCATCACTTAAAAATAAGGATTCGGAAGGTTGTAACCATAGCAATACTAAACAGGAAATAAATAATGATGATTCTGATACAGAAGATTGTGACTATGGGAACACGTATGAATTTAGTTCTGAGATGGAGAATTCAGGAATTACAAATCAAAAGTGTGATGTACCATATCCTGTCAAGTTGTGGAAGGCTGTAGAGCATGAAGATGGGCAGGAGACAAGTAAGAAAAAAGAACCAGTCAGTGAATTTGTATCAACCATGTCAACCAGTAGTATGAAAATGAATTTGCCTCAACCTGAGTTCAATAACATACTTACCAATTCAGCCTTTACCACTACTGTTCAGGAAGATATCACAGAAAACCAAGGTAAAAGTAGAAACAGAAGAAAAAGAAAAGAAACGGTTAGGAGATTGAAGACTTGTAATATTGACCAGAGTGATGAAGATGAAACATTTGGTTTCAACACTGGTGAAAAGGAATATGACACTTGTAATTCTGGGGAAAAGGAATATGACACCTGTAATTCTGGAGAAAAGGAACATGACACATGTAATTCTGGTTGTTTTGTATGTCATTTGTGTCAAGTAGTTTTCACAGATGCAAAGGCACACCATATTCATGTGAAAAAATGTCTGACAAGAAGGAAGTTAAAGAGGAAAAAAACAAATACAGAACACAAATGTGAAATTTGTGGCAAAGTATTTAAAGACAGACGTGGACTTGACAGGCATGAAGTAGTTCATTCTGGGGTTAAACCTTACCAATGTGCCATTTGTGAAAGGTCTTACACTCAGAAAGGTAAATTTACATAACATAAATGTTTACAAGATTTTGCATATATATTTAAACTTGTTACCTGAAATCCTGCAAAACTAAAAGTATAAGTTAACACCTATTTTTAATTAGTGTAAATATATAAGAATTCATCTGGTACAAATAGTAATACAAACAAGTACAAAGTATACAACATTTAATTACATAGAAGTGTAATCAGTTATCAGCAAAATGTTCAGATTTTGACAATTAAAATTAAACCAGAAAAAGACAAGATAGTACGGCGATTCATATTGCCATACAAAAGGTATCAATTTGATGACAGAAAAATGGACGCAATTAGGATTTCATTCCAAATCCATACTGAAAGCTACAAAACATTTTTTGAAGTGTTACTGCATCTGGAAAATTTCAGATAATGACAATTTTCCTGTTTTATCAAAACTAATTGCTCTTTTCAGAACAAGAGAAAAGATAAAATATTTATTTATTACTTCTATGTAAATCAGATGTAGTCAATATAATCTCATCTCATATCTTCGAGACCTCGTTCATGGTCAATCGTTTCAGAATTTACATAGTTTACAAATTTTGTGATTAGGTCAATTTAACCATGTTAACATGTTTCAGGGGAACCATTTATGATAATTCATTGATATTCAGTATTTCTCATTTCTACGGACATAATTTGGCCCTGCACCTTAATTCATGGTTCATTGATGTTGAGTGTATTGCATGATAGTTAACATGTTAAAATATGGCCATTTTAATTTCAACATTTGCATGATAGTTAACATGTTAAAGTATGGCCATTTTAATTTCAACATTTACATGATAGTTAACATGTTAAAGTATGGCCATTTTAATTTCAACATTTGCATGATAGTTAACATGTTAAAGTATGGCCATTTTAATTTCAACATTTGCATTATACTATCAAAATTACATACAGACGAGTCATATCTCTGTGTCAACAGTGTATTTACTTGTAATTTTAAAGATTTTTTGTTTTCCAGGACATTTACAACAACATCAGAGGATGCACAATGATAGGGAAGACCCACTGGAATGTGAATATTGTTTCAAGATTTCACAAAGACAAGATAAATACACAACTCATAAAAACTTTCATTATCGTTCAAAAAACATGCCATATCTTTGTAATGCTTGTGGTGGTCAATTCCAAGAAAAATCTGACCTGGTCAAACATATCATAAAGCATCGCAATACAGAGTTATATTATGTGCAGGTGGTACAAGAATCCAAATTATCAGATGAAAACAAACCACGTTCAAAATCTCCGTTGAAAAAGCCAAAGTTAAAGAATTTAAGTGGAAGTTGTTCTGGAATCAACTGTAACAAAGCAGTTGAGGGTAAATTAGGAAAGTTTTTGTTTGTCTGTCAGCTTTGTAAGAAAGAATTCATAGACTGGTTTACCATTCAGCAACATATTAGTCGTCATACTGGTGAAAAAGTTTTATTTACATGCGAAACTTGCAGTAAAGAATTTGAGAGTACAGATGACTTTGCCGTACATCAGAAAGAACATGCTCCAAATTATGTGACAAAATGTGAAATTTGTGGAAAATTTCTAAATAGCAACACAGATTTATTGACCCACAAACATATTCATCAAGTTTTATATTCATTTCCTCGACAACAGCCTACAAATGGTGATGTCCCAGCATTCTCTTCACAGAAAGAAGCAACAGTGACTGATGAAGCAGTTAGTGGAACATGTACTGAGGAAAATGAACATTCTGATAGTAACGATAATGTTAATAAGGTATGTATATAGATTCTACCACACCACCTAACCACGCTGATTACAATATTTAACCAACATAGAAATTTTGAATCTTGAATATGTGAAGCTTGCAGAGCATTTAAAATTGACTTATTAAAATGATAAATATTGTAGTCAACAGGGTACGGTGGTAGAATCTGTTTCTGCAGTGATTTAAGGAATATACTGAGTTCAGTGTTCCAAATGGATATGACAGGAATTACACACACACACATTTTAATGTGGTTTATTAAAATTTATCAAACTGGAATGGTCAGAACCAGTTTAAATGCATACAGAATTAGAAAAATAGAATTAAAGTGCAAAAAGATCAATTGATTAATTTCATTTTTATACGATCGCAAAAAAAATTTTGCGGTCGTATATTGGTATGACGTCCGGCGTCGTCGTCGTCCGAAGACACATTGGTTTTCGCACTCTTAACTTTAGTTTAAGTGAATGGATCTCTATGAAATTTTACCATAAGGTTCAATACCACAAAAGGAAGGTGGGGATTGACTTTGGGGGTTATGGTACCAACAGTTAAGGAATTAGGGGCCAAAAATAAGCATTTTTGTAACTTCCAGACATAACTTGTGTGTTAGTGTATGGATCTCTCTGACATTGTACCACAAGGTTCCATATCACAAAAGGAATGCTGGAATTGAGTTTGGGGGTAATTGCCTCAATATTTTAGGAATTAGAGGCCAAAAAGGGGCAAAAAACAAGCATTTTTCTAGTTTCATGACAATAACTTGTGTGTAAGTGTATGGATCTCTCTGACATTGTACCACAAGGTTCCATTACACAAAGGGAATGCTGGGATTGATTTTAGGGGTAATTGCCTCTAAATTTTAGGAATTAGGGGCAAAAAAGGGGCAAAAAACAAGCATTTTTCTAGTTTAATGACAATAACTTGTGTGTAAGTGTATGGGTCTTTATGAAATTGTACTACAAGGTTCCATATCACAAAGGGAAAGCTGGAATTGAGTTTGGGGGTAATTGCCCAAAAGGTTTAGGAATAAGGGGCCAAAAATAAGCATTTTTCTAGTTTCTAGACAATAACTTGTGTTCAAGTGTATGGATCTCTCTGAAATTGTACTGCAAGGTACCATACCACAAAGGGAAGGCTGGGATTGATTTTGGGGGTAATTGCCTCAAAATTTTAGGAATTAGGGGCCATAAAGGGGCAAAAAACAAGCATTTTTTCTAGTTTCAGGTCAATAACTTGTGTGTTAGTGTATGGATCTTTATGAAATTGTACTGCAAGGTTTCATATCACAAAGGGAAAGCTGGGATTGAGTTTGGGGGTAATTGCCGTAAACGTTTAGGAATTATGGTCCAAAAAGGGGCCAAAAAACAAGCATTTTTCTAGTTTCCAGACAATAACTTGTGTTCAAGTGTATGGATCTCTCTGAAATTGTACTGCAAGGTACCATACCACAAAGGGAAGGCTGGGATTGAGTTTGGGGGTGCTGAATTGTAAGGGGGTTCAAAAAATTTGGGGGGGGGATTTTATTTTCCTTTTTTTTCTTTAAAATTTTCCATTTTAAATTGGTTATTTCTGATTTATATATAAAAACAAATAATAATGATATGGTTTGAATAGGTAAATTAAAATTTTTTAAGTTCTTAGACCACATTCATTCTGTGTCAGAAACCTATGCTGTGTCATTTATTTAATTACAATCCAAATTCAGGGTTGTATCGAGCTTAAATGTTGTGTCCATACTTGCCCCAACTGTTCAGGGTACCACCTCTGCGGTCGTATCAAGCTGCACCCCAGCGGAGCATTTTATTATGTTTTGCCTTCAATAGAAAATATATAATGATCTGTCACTGAGTTACATCCTGTTTTCATCATATTTACCTGCAATTTGTTCAAGAAAAAAAGGTTCTTATTTTGATTTCACTTATATTTTCACAAGAATCATAGTAATAAGCAGGAAAATTTTATATTTCTAAGATATTGAAAATTCTTAATGACTTTAAATGTAGATATGTATTATATTGACAGGAACACAAAGAGGACAATAGCTTACAAGATAAAACAGGTAAGAAAATTTATGCCCCCCACGCGATATAGAAATACCAGGCATCTGTCCATCTGTCCATCCAGTCTTGTTAGTGCTCTCACATGTACAATTCTTGCCAATATTTTATAAAACTTATATCACAGATTTATATCAGCAATGTCTCTGACAAGTTCAAAAATCAGTGCCGATTAACTATTTTTAAAAGAGTTATGCCGCTTGGAAACATTAATTATATGGAAAATTGCATCATTAGCACTCTCATTTGTACAACTCTTGCAGATTTTTATGAAAATTAAATTGTAGGTTTATATCAGCAATGTCTTGGACAAGTTCCAAAAGCAGTGCCGATCAATTATTTTGAAAAGAGTTATTTATGCCTTTGGAAACATTAATTATATGGAAAATTGCATTGTTAGCGCTCTCGTGTACAATTCTTGCCAGATTTTTATGAAACTTATATCATAAGGTTATATCAACAATGTCTTGGACAAGTTAAAAAATCAGTGCCGTTCAATTATTATACGACCGCAAAAAATGGTCGTATATTGGTATGACATTGGCGTCGTCGTCGTCGTCGTCTGAAGACACATTGGTTTTCGCACTCTAACTTTAGTTTAAGTGAATGGATCTCTATGAAATTTAACCATAAGGTTTAATACCACAAAAGGAAGGTTGGGATTGATTTTGGGGGTTATGATACCAACAGTTAAGGAATAAGGGGTCAAAAAGGGGCCAAAAATAAGCATTTTTGTAACTTCCAGACATAACTTGTGTGTTAGTGTATGGATCTCTCGGACATTTTACCACAAGGTTCCATATAACAACGGGAATGCTGGGATTGATTTTGGGGGTAATTGCCTCAAAATTTTAGGAATTAGGGGCCAAAAAAGGGGCAAAAAACAAGCATTTTTCTAGTTTCATGACAATAACTTGTGTGTAAGTGTTTGGATATTTCTGAAATTGTACTACAAGGTTCCATATCACAAAGGGAAAGCTGGAATTGAGTTTGGGGGTAATTGTCCAAAACGTTTAGGAATTGGGGCCAAAAATATGCATTTTTCTAGTTTCCAGACAATAACTTGTGTTCAAGTGAAGGATCTCTCTGAAATTGTACTGCAAGGTACCATACCACAAAGAGAAGGCTGGGATTGATGATGGGGGTAATTGCCTCCACATTTTAGGAATTAGGGGCAAAAAAGGGGCAAAAAACAAGCATTTTTCTAGTTTCAGGACAATAACTTGTGTGTAAGTGTATGGATCTTTCTGAAATTGTACTACAAGGTTCCATATCACAAAGGGAAAGCTGGATTTGAGTTTGGGGGTAATTGTCCAAAACGTTTAGGAAATTGGGGCCAAAAAACACAGTTTTCTAGTTTCCAGACAATAACTTGTGTTCAAGTGTATGGATCTCTCTGAAATTGTACTGCAAGGTACCATACCGCAAAGGGAAGGCTGGGATTGAGTTTGGGGGTGATGAATCATAAGGGGGTTCAAAAAATTGGGGGGGGGGGGGATTTTTTTTTTTTTTCCTTTTTTTTTACTTTTAAAATTTTCCATTTTAAGTTGGTTATTTCTGATTTATATTTAAAGCAAATAATAATGATATGGTAGGAGATACACACCAAACAGGATGTGTAAATTATTATATAATAAGTATTGTGCAATAGCAAGAAATTTTCAATTGCACAGTATTGCACAATAGCAAGAAATCTTCAATTGCACAATATTGCGCAATAGCAAGAAATATCCAATAGCACAATATTGCGCAATAGCAAGAAATTGTCAATTGTACAGTATTGCGCAATAGCAAGAAATATTGTGCAAAAGAAGATACTTTGTATGTATTGCTTATTTCTTGACCAATGTCAATGGGGTTTTATTCTTGAATTCTTGGGGTTCTTTAATATGCTGAATCTAACCATGTATTAAGTTTTTGGATTTTGGGCCCCGTTTTTAAATTGGTCCACATTGAGGTCCAAAGGGTCCAAAATTAAACTTTGTTTGATATCATCTAAAATTGAATTATTGGGGTTCTTTGATATGCTGAATCTAACTGTGTATTTAGATTCTTAATTTTTGGTTCCGTTTTCAAATTGGTCTACATTAAGGTCCAAAGGGTCCAAAATTAAAGTTAGTTTGATTTTAACAAAAATTGAATTCTTAGGGTTCTTTGATATGCTGAATCTAAACATGTATTTAGATTTTTGATTATGGGCCCAGTTTTCAAGTTGGTCCAAATCGGGGTCCAAAATTAAACTTTGTTTGATTTCAACAAAAATTGAATATATGGGGTTTTTTGATATGCTGAATCTAACCATGTATTTAGATTTTTGATTTTTGGGCCCCCTTATCAACTTTTTCCACATAGAGGTCAAAAGGGTCCAAAATTAAACTTTGTTTGATTTCATCAAAAATTGAATTCTTGGGGTTCTTTGATATACTGAATCTAACCATGTATTTAGATTTTGGATATTGGACCATAATACATGTAGGTGAATGTCCAATTTAAAATTTTTAAGTTCTTAGACCACATTCATTCTGTGTCAGAAACCTATGCTGTGTCAAATATTTAATCACAATCCAAATTCAGAGCTGTATCAAGCTTGAATGTTGTGTCCATACTTGCCCCAACTGTTCAGGGTTCGACCTCTGCGGTCTTATCAAGCTGCGCCCTGCGGAGCATTTTATTTTTAAAAGAGTTATGCCCCTTGGAAATATTAATCATATTGGAAATTGCATTGCATTTTCTCTCAAGCCTTCATTTCTCTAAGATATTTATAAAAAGTTTTAAATTTTTTTAGTTATTGCCCTTTGACCATGGACAGATAAAATATGTGCGACGTGGGGGATGTTGGATATCTGTTCTTTTTATTTCCTACAAAAGGAGTTCAAAGCGTTTTCAAATGGATCATTCAGATGGTGGTTTTTTTGCTAGTAAAATGGTTATAAAATCAGTGTTCCTCATTTTTTTTAATGCCTGAATATGAAGATTCAAGCATATTTGATATTTGGCATGGGAGCATGAAAATTTTGGGAAAAATTCAAACTGCTAGTGGACATTTTAGTGCAGACATTATAACCAATTTTAGAGCAGACATTTGGTATACAGTCATATCATAAGATGTTTCAAATATATTTTGGTAAACAGTCCCAATATATAAGAAGTTAGATATATTTGGTATACAGTCCCATCATAAGAAGTTAGTTTGGGCCCTAGGACATAGAAAATTGCTGTAATATATTAGTTCTTAGAGAAATAAAAACCCAGATGCCTCTATTCTTGGGTTTGCTCCTGCAGTTGTTGACACTATCAGCATCTTTAACATGTTTAAATAAATTTTCTGACCCTATTAATGATAAGACTGCATCAATAACAACTTAATGTGTGTCCCATATAAGTGCTATCATGGCTATGGGGACATTGTACTGTATATGCTATATCCTCAGAATGCTTTTTTTCTATAAATAGTGTCTTGATGAGTTTCTACAAATATCTTAATGATCATATTAATATATTTTACTTTTACAGAAGGGCAGCAGAAGATGAACTCGGTGCAAGATGATAACCAAGATGCCTCTGTGTACAATAAAGTTTCTCAATACATGGCAGAAAATTGTCATATGGAATCTATTGTTGCTTCTAACTTTCGTTACAATGTTCCTGTTAATGACCCCTCTTCCAAACAAGGGCAAGCAGACAATACATTTGAAGTTGATCAGAGTGAATGTGTTAATGAAGTTGATAAAAAAATCAACATGGCTTCTAATCTGAAAAATGCCATTAACACACACGAAAGAAGAGGACAGTTCATATGCAATGTATGTGGCATGATTTTTGACAGAATGAATTTGTTCCGCTTACATGCAGCATATTGTGGGAACATTGATCAAAAGGTCAAGGTTCATGTTGTGGGAAGGAAGAAGAAATATGAATGTCCAATATGTGGGAAGTTGTTTCCTGATCGTCGTGGCATTGAGAGACATGGTGTTGTTCATTCAGGCATCAAAGCATATGAGTGTACTGTGTGTGGAAGGTCATACACTCAGAAAGGTCATCTTGAATTGCACATGAAGAAACACAGCGATAATTTCTTTGAGCGGTTTGAGTGTCCGTATTGTTTTAAAATCTTAGAAAAAAAGGATAGATTTGTAATACACAAAGCTTCACACATGTCAGAATTTCCATATACGTGTAATGTGTGTAACTCATCCATGAGATTACTCCAGGATCTCTATGAGCATTTTAAAACACATGAGCATCATCAGTTTTACTATGTTGAAAACAAGATAGGATTAGGGACACCAGGAGAACAGGCACCAGAAGAGAGTGTTCATACAGCGCCATCTATACAACAGGTGTCGAATGACAGTACACATACAGTGCCACCTATCATGCCTATACAAATATTTGATTCTGACAAACTTCAAGAACTATCCAACAGCCAGTTAAAGTTAAGAGAAGAAGGACAACACTTGTGTGATGAGAATCACTTTATTTTTGTTTGTCAAATTTGCCACAAACAGTTTCAGACTTGGCAAATTATGCTAGAACATGTTGACCGCCATTTTGGTATGACCCGTCAGTTTACATGTGAGACTTGCAATACAGTTTTCAATACAGTGGAAAATTTAAAACAACATTTAGATGAACATAAGAAAAATTTTCAAAATATATGCACAGTTTGTAAAAAATTCTTTTTAGATGAAGATGGATTGAAAGAACATTTTGTAATTCACAAGAGATTTGCACAGAAACGATCATTTTATGTAAAGCAACCTAATTTGAACAGAAAGCGACGGAAATTAAAAGAGAAACAAGATACAATAGCTCCCCTCTAATAACCTCTCTTAATCATGTACCAACCTCCAATCTAGAACTGCTTAAACATTGGATAAAAGATTCAACTGATGTTAGTTTATTAAGGATATTTTGCTCTTAATTATTGCCAACAAACTTAAACACTTCTTCGAGTTGCAGTTTGAATTCATTTATCATGTTTATTCTGAGGAAAACTATAGAGATAAGTGTGTTAGTGTGAAGCAAGTGCAGTGAAATGAAAATATTCTTCCTTTCAGTAACATTTCCAAACCAATGATTGACTTTTTGATACATAAAAAGTTGGAATTAAACTTTATACTAGTTGATCAGTTTGAAGTACTGTAAATTCAGAAATTATTGCGAATAATGCGACTGGGTGGGTATCGCAATAATTAGAACTTGCATTCATATATAATTAATCATACATTTTTGTCCATTCTAAAATCACAATAAAAAATGCATGCAATAACCTCTAAATTAACAGTAATGAATTCAAAGTGCAACTGGAAAAAGTGATAATGCATTAATATATATTGAAACTTTTATTCAAAGTTAACAACCAAAATGTTTGAGATACAGAAGACTGGAACCAGCTTTAGTGTTACTGTGTTTATTCAGCAGGCTTTGCCCTATCACAATACCAATTGCTAAAAAAATAAAACATTTTAGCTCATTTATTCAGTGAAAGGTTGTTAGTATTAAGTGAATGCAATAAAGCAATGACTAAAATCATGAAAATGTTTCACCAGTTGATCAGTTTGTAAAGGTGTTTCAAACTGCAATTTGATAAAACTGTTTTAGCAATTTGTATGGTGGTAGGGCAAAGCCTACTGAATAGCACAGTATTATAATTTAGATCCTTTTAAATTATTTGAAAATAAAAATTAGGATGTACACTTTATTTTTTTACACCAAATATAAGTTTAATCCCTTGAACATCCATCACCCTTTTATATTCTTCTATTATCTTCCCCAAACTTAAAAGAAATGAAACAGTTACAGCTGGTAAAATTTTGAATCTTTGATGTATGAAATTTCTTGACAAGGGAACAGTGCAGCATGGTGAGTCGTCAGACGACTCCTTATAGGAGTTATTGCTCTTAAATGACAAAAAAAACAGTGTTTTGCAATTTTGGGTATTATCTTGAAAACTGTAAAAGAATCTTAATTTGATATCAAAAATGATCTGCAAGACAAGATCTACAAAACAATCAATGGCAGAAATCATCTTTTGACTCCTCATGAGAGTTATTGCCCTAAATTTATGATCTTTACCCATTTTTTGTGTTTTTGTCTTTAATCATGAAGATCATGAAGATTATAATAGAGGATAGAAACCTTAAACAGCAAAAATGATCATAAAATTTTGCCCATTTTTTGGTGTTTTTGCTATAATCACAAAAATATTAATAGATAGAAACACTAATAAGCAATGGTGATCAGTAAGACAAGATCTACATATTTAATAGGTCAACATGAGTGCAATGTTAAATGACTTCTTATAGTGGCTATTTTACCCATTTTTATACGACCACAAAAAATTTTGTTCGTATAATGCTATCTTGTCGGAGTCGGAGTCCGAAGACACATTTGGTTTCTGGACAATAACTTTAGTTTAAGTGAATGGATCTCTATGAAATTTTACCAGAAGATTCAATACCACAAAAGGAAGGTTGGGATTGATTTCAGGGGTTAGGGTACCAACAGTTTAGGAATTAGGGGCCAACAACAAGCATTTTTGTAGTTTCCGGACAAAAACTTGTGTGTAAGTGTATGGATCTCTCTGAAATTGTACCACAAGGTTCCATATCACAAAGGGAAGGCTGGGATTGAGATTGGGGGTAATTGCCCCAAATGTTCAGGAATTAGGGGCAAAACAGGGGCCAAAAACAAGCATTTTTCTAGTTTCCAGACAATAACTCATGTTTAAGTGTATGGATCTCTCTGAAATTGTACTACAAGGTTCCATACCACAAAGGGAAGGCTGGGATTGAGTTTGTGGGTAATTACTCCAAACGTTTAGAAATTAGGGCCAAAAAGGGGGCCAAAAACAAGCATTTTTCTAGTTTCCAGACAATAACTTGTGTTAAAGTTTATGGACCTCTCTGAAATTGTACATTTTTTCTGCAAAGAAAAAAATCTTCAAAAATTGGGGGGGGGATTTTTTTTCAAATTTTTTTGGGGGGGTTTATTTTTATATCTTTGTAATTTTTTTGTGGGGGGGGGGGGGGTTCATACTTTTTTCTCCAAGATTTGTCAAAATTTCAAAACTTTTTTTTGGGGGGGGGGGGGGGACCAATTTTTTGGAGGGATTTTTTTTCATAATTTTTTGGTTTTTTTATTCCAAAATTTTTTCCATTTTTACGTTGATTATTTCTGATTTATAAATAAAAGCAACAAATACTGATATGGCTGGAGATACACACCAAACAGGGTGTGTAAATTATTAAGTATTATGCAACAGCACAGTATTGTGCAATAGCACAGTATTGCGCAATAGCAAGAAATCTTCAATTGAAAATAAATACAAATCTTTTAACCAATTTCAATGGGATTAAATTAAGTCTTTTTGGGGGTTCTAACCTTGTATTACTTTTTTGGATATTGGGCCCCATTTTTAAATTGGTCTACATTGAGGTCCAAATGGTCCAAAATTAAACTTTGTTTGATTTCTTCAAAAACTGAATTATTGCGGCTCTATGATATGCTGAATCTTATTGTGCATTTAGATTTTTTATTTTGGGCCCTGTTTTCAAATTAGTCCATATTAAGGTTTGAAGGGTCCAAAATTAAACTTTGTTTGATTTCAGCTAAAATTAAATTTTTGGTATTTTTTTATATGCTGAATCTTACCATTTTGTTAGATTTTGGATATCAGACCATACTAGGTAAATTAAATGTCCCATTTAAAATTTTTAAGATCTTTGACCACATTTATTTTGTGGCAGAAACCTATATAATGTCAAAAATTTGATCACAATCCAAATTCAGACAGTATCAAGCTTGAATATTGTGTCCAAACTTCCCCCAACTGTTCAGGGTTTGACCTCTGCAGTCATCTCAGGCTGCGCTTAGCGAAGCATTTTATTCCAATTATTTTGCAATAAAGCAATATACCTTTAAACATATATTTAACGTGTTCATATTTAGAGGATCTGTCAGAAAAATGGGAAAACTTTATGATGTTCAGCCTAGTCAATGCAAATCAAATATCTTGCAATAAATTTATAACTCGTTGCACTGCATGGCATTTTTAATCTCGCCTGCGACAAAAGTCGCAGAAAGCGAGACATCGGGATTGTTTTTTCTGGCGAAGGTGGCACCAGCGTCAACAATTGTTAAGTTATCTGCTTAAGTTATGTTTGATAGGATCTACTTGTGATAGATCAATGATATTTTGTATGATGTTGCATTACTATCAGTACATATCAGTTTGGTGACTATTTTAAGGCCCTGTCCCCTAGGACATGGTCCAGTGACTTTGAATTAATTAGCAATTTTCAATGTTAAGTTTTTATGTTTTATAAGTTATATTGATACTTACAATAAACAACGATATTTTCTATAAAGTTACATTACTGTCTGTACATCTCAGTTTGTCGACCATTTTCAGACTCTGCCCACTAGATCATGGTCCAATGACTGAATAAATAAGGAATGTTGCTGTCCATCAGATTGTCTTTTTCTGAATTTTATGCTGTTAGGGGAGACATTATTTGTGTGACACCAGTTTATTAAGTAAGCTAGTTAAACTGCTTAATTGAGGTAAAAATGAACATGCAGTTCTTTGGGTTTCTTTTGGGAATTGGGATTAATTCAAACTACTGGTTTCATGGTTTTTATAAATGAACACAAATAGATGAATTTGTCCCCATAAATTAACAATGGTATTATATCATTGCACATTGTAAATATGAATTACAGTTATGATAATGTTCACACTTTGTTTACTAGACTTTTAAGTTATGTAAATTTGTTATCTTTGTCTGTGTATTTCATTTTATTAAATATATAAATGTTCATGGTTGATTCTTCATTTGACAAAAAATAAAAGAGTGAAAATTGAAAAGTGAAATGAAAATATAAAATTATTCCTAGACTTTAAAAGCTTTAAAAAGTGTTAAGCATGCTGTTAAACTATTTCTGAAGTTTCTTGAAATTATAATGTAAGGAAGTCATTAAACCAATGCATGCATATATACTTAACTAAGTCTTCTTTGCACATTTTTTACATTTACTATGAATCTAGAACATATCAATGACAAATACATATTTTTCAATGATTGTTGATCACAAGCTAATTAACTTTCAAGTTTGTTGCCGTAGTTTACTGGAAATTGTGACATTGATAAACAATCAACACAAAATCATGGAGCACGTATTTTGTCGTGCATAGTACGCAGTTGTGTATAATATGCAAAATCATGAAAAAAAAGTTTTTTAAAGAATCAAAATAAAAATTGAATAAAAAAAAAAAATTAAAAAGTCTAGTTCACTATAAAAAGCCTTTGGTAGGGAACTATTAAACCGGGTATTTAATCTTCATTGTCATCAATTGAAAGATAAAAATAATGTAAAAGAATGTTTGTTCAATCAAATCTTTTTTTGTAATATTTTCTGTTTAATTAAATAATAAGTCATAAACAATAAAAATTAATTTCTTGAAACTATTAATTATTCCATTAAAAAATAAAGAAGACACTCATTGAGTTGAATACATAACAAAAACATACAAGTTGTAATGTTAACTTGTTTTAACTAAAATATCTGAAAAGAAAATTTAGACATAGGCAGATATTTACAGAACCAAATCCTCCAAAAAAAAATCTTTTACAAATTTCTTTTCAATAGCAAGCTACACGTATTGTTTATTGTGGTTGATTGATGGCTACTTATGTCCAACAGCAAATATTACATGCATATTTAGGATGATGACATGTTACAAGATTTATGATCATGAACCTTGGTTTATACTTGACAGACATGTGCTAGATCAAAGAGTAAAAGTCTGCAGGTACCCATGTCACACTACCCAAACATGATTATGAGGGGATAAGACTTCAATCCTCATTACAGGCGAAAACCCAGTTGAAATTAAACAAAAGAAATGGAACTCTTTGTAAGAGAAGGTAAAAAAGGCCAAGTTGTTAATTTGAATTGTTTACATCTGTTTCTATGGGCTTTAAAAGTTTAGTGAATGTGCCTAATTATACCCCACGCAACGAGTTGCGGAGGGTATAATGTTTTTGACCCGTCCATCTGTCCGTCAGTCCTGTTTCTTGTCATCGCAACTCCTCTCAAACCACACAACAGAATTTCACGAAACCTTTTTAGATAATAAGGACATACTAAGTAGTTGTGCATATCGACAGGAAATTGTGATTCAATTTTTAAGCAGTTAAGCTGCTTTATGCGAGCACCCTGGATTTGTGTTCTACCCAATAAATGCTGAAATATGTGCCATTGTTATTATCTGGCTGGCTATTATGTTATTTATAACTAATTGAACACTTTTTTCATACTTTTAATTCTGGAATACAAAAAATATGACCAGAAAAACCTTAAATGATCGTCGAACCACCCAAAAGTTTTGAAGTTGCACAAAGGAAGTAGTGCTCAATAGAAATCCTTATGTAGTTTATTATCCCCTGTGCTTTTGGCCAAGATGTCAAAGAACAATTGCATGAATTATTTCATCGCCGAAAATCTCTAATTACAAGTCGTTTACAGTTGCCAAATGGCACAAAGCGCAGGAATATTGTATAAACGGCTGCGACTAATATGACACGGAGTTGAAGTCTCAGTTGGCGGTAATTTTAACTTCGTCGACAAAACGTAAATCAAGGACGTTTTAAATTTGGTGATTTCTGATAATAATCATTTTGTTCAACCGCTAGCTTTATACCGAAAATCGCCAACATGTTATGTGTAAATCCGAGTAAATCGTATCTGACTGACAAAAACAACATTGAAAAACAAATGGATGCCATAAACCGGAAATGAAGACAATTATAATACCGGATCTAATTCCGGGGGCGGATAAGGGTAATTCCGGGTTTGCCGATCAAATGGAATAAAAATATAATAATTCCAGGCATGAGACAAAATACATCTATCATGATGAAATATAAACTCTAGAATTGAAAACCAAAGATATATTGAAAAGAAAGAAAAAGCAGGAAATATTTTATACAGAAACTCAAAATTACTTTTAGTTCACAAATTTTCATGTCAAAAACCAATAAAATGTGACAGTATTTTCCTTATCATTAATAAATATTGATATTACATGTAGATGTTTTTATTGTTTAAACATATTACTACAATTCCATGAGGTAATTTCTTCTCAATTTTGAAGGGCCTATAAAAATCTGGAAGTTTCTTACTTTATTTTCACAGAGGAACTAGCTAATATAATATATAGTGCAACTAGATATGACACACTTAAACAGTTTTGAATTTGAACTGTTTAATATAATGGTATAATTAGTAATAAATAATCAATTGTTGAGACAACACACCCACCCACAGTGATACCCGCAGCCTCCCTCAGCCTTCCTAATACAAAAAAAAAGATTATTTGAATTCATGAATTAATATACAAGACAATTACATTTATTATTAAACATGTTAAACGACAGTGACACTGACAATGAAACAAGCTAACTTAACACCAAAAGCACATTAAAGTATCTTACTGAGTTATGAACTATTTCAAGTAAAAGCAGGACCTGGAATTTAGGTTGTGGACCTTTCAGTTTGGAGTGTCAAAGGTCCTGGTCTGTCCAGTACCAAATGTTAATTTTAACCCCTGCATTCACAGTAAAGCGATTTTGACGTGTATTGCAATTCCAAGTAGAATTTACTTTTGGACATTAAACGTTTCGAATGCGTATTAAACTAATTCAAATCAGTTAATAATGTGAATCGAATTCGAATTATGTGTGAACGCAGCATTGATATATCTAAGAAATGAAGAATATTAAAAAAAGATGGAGAAAATATTTGTATTAAATTTGTTGCAATTTTTGTCTTGCCTTGACAGAGTCAAAAAGTGAGACATATATATATATATAGGTATGCTGTTTTGGCGGAATCAACAATGTATTAGTTTGTGATTTTGTGATAAGGTCTGGTTTCTGGTAGGTCAATGACAT